TGCTTTCAGGTTGGAGGTGATTCCCCTGAAACACCAGGTCTGCTTCAGCAGCCTGACAACTTCTTTGCAGTCAAACACACACCAGGAGCTAATTAAAAGAGAAGGTCTTTAATTTCCACTGCAAAGCTTTCAGTGTTTATCTCAGGGCTGGTTTTGCCAGCTCAGATTGGTCCTGCTTCTCCCAGGAATGTGCACCCAAAATTTGTCCACCTGAATTCCTCAACTGACTGTAGACACCGGGCAGGGTTGGTGAGAGTGGAAGTGACACCAAAGCCACCAGCAGAACCCTGATCCAAGACTCTGCTGGTTCTCTTTGTGCAGCTTGGTGTCCTTTTGGGTCTGTCCCTGTGAGGGCCATCAGCAGCTGGGATTCCTGGAGGAAGAAACAGGAATGTTGTGTAAATCAATAAGTGGAGGCAAAGCAGAGACCGCCACTCATCCCCTCAGTGAAAGCACCTTTCAAGCAAATTCATATTTACAGTCATAGCACTGTTAAAGATATTTTTAATTACAGAAAATAAAATACTAATAAAGCTTTATTAGTGTTTCATCTCTCCCTCTCTTTCTTCACGCCCTCGTGTGAATTTTAATTGTGGTTTCTTTCCCACACCCCTCCAAATCTGAGGAGGTTCCAGCAAAGCCAGAGAGGAGCAGTTGGGAGCAGTCTGATCCCAGCCCAGATAGGCTGGGTTTGCCTCGTTAAGCCTGCCTGCAAGCCTAGCAAGCTGATTAAAGCTGAGCCCATTCTCAATTTACAGGCACTTGGTGTCTGTGGGATATGAGACACCAAAAAAAGCCTCCTGTGTCCCTGATCCTTTAACTGCACGTCAGAGCAGCCGAGGAGTGAGGTTTCATCTTTCTCGAGGTGTTGCCAGGTGCTAATTAGCCTCGGGACCTTGTACAAAGGGACAAAGTGCAGGAAAAGATTTCAGTGGGGATTGGTTTCTTGCCCACTGTGTAGAACTCAGCCCTGCAGGAGTCTGTGGAATTTATTCCCATTTTGTGCTTCCTCCAGGCATGGACTCTGCACTTACTAACAGAAGTACCTGTTGCTGATTGAGTGGATATTTTGTAGTTTGAATTTCCACATTCCCTATCCAGAGCTGTCTATTACATCCCCAAAGCAGAGGGAAGACAGAGCAATGTTTAAATCCCCCAGTTTTTTGTTAATTTGGCTCAGCTAAGGAAAACTTCCATCCTGGACCTGATAACTGGTTTATTAGAGCACTTTAAAACAATAAGAGAGCACAGCAAGTTCCCCAGTCCCAGGGGAAGGTGAGCAGGGCTGGAGCAAGCCACAGCTCCTGGTGTCCCAGCCTCCATTCAATCCCAGTGGCGTAATGGAAAGCAGTGGGAATGTCCTTGATTCCCCGATAGCCTCAGCCCTGCGTGCTCCAGCCTTTCTAACACAGGCCTTTGGGAAACTGCATGTGGCTTTGGCCTAGCCAGACACCCCCTTTTGATTTGTTTTTTTCTGTTTTGCTGTTCCATTGGCGGCGAGGGAAGGAAGTGGTGGGAGAGTGGAGTCGGTGCCCGGCCACTCACAGCATTCCCAGACTGCCCAGGATGGTCATACCCTTGGCAGGCTGCTGGTTGCTGTGGGCTCACCTAAAAAGTGCTTCTGGCTGCTGTCAAAGCCTTCCCAACATGCAGAGAGCTTTGTTTGTGGATACCCAACCCTTCTTTTATCCCATTTCCGACTGCTCCGTTCCCCCGGGCGCTCTTGGAGCTGCGTAATCACCGCCAATTCCTTCTTGGGGGGATTGCATCCAAAGCTTTTGGGCTTTTTCAGGTCATGTGTGCCAGACCTCAAAGTGACCTGAGCTAACAATCCCTTGTTTCTCTTCCTCTTTCATGTACTTGCTTTCCAGGATCAATCTCTTTCCAACAATAATATTAATGTTGGCAGCTTGTCCCGCTCTGGTGTGTGTCTGGAGCAGAGAGGAGAAGGACAAAGCTCCCTGTCTTTAAAACTTTAAAGCACTCCTCTTCCAGCCACACTTGGGGCCTTTTCTTTACATTTGTTTTATTTCTGAGCTGAAGATATTGAGGGTTTTGTTGTAAGAGAGTCCCATGCTCGGCACCAGTGACTGGTGCACAATCCATCAGGGCTTTGCTGGGTTTGTTCCCATCACTTTTGATATTCCTCAGACATGAAGGGCATTTATAGAGCTCGTTCTCATCACCCTCTGAGATTCCTGACACAAAGGGAAATTCCAGCATTAATACACAATCACTTTGTTTCAACTTTTATTTATCCAGCGCATTCTGTGTTAAATAAATAAATCACAAAATAAGTCAAGTGCAGGATAATGCACAGACAGGGAGAAGAGTGGGACAGAAATGGGAGGAGAGGCTGGTCCTGGAATGCTGTGCTCTGTCCTGATGCCTGCAGCCAGAACCACCAGCTGGAAGTGACTGATTATAAAATCATAGCAAGAAATTAGATGGACCCGTTTAATAGCAGAGAGAAATTCCTGCAGGAGTGAGGGGACTTTTATCACCTCACAGCAAGGCTGGATGCATTTCCAGAGGATATTCCAGGCTCAAATCCTGGACTCCATGAGCTGTGAATGGAGCAAAGGGACCAAGCTAAGTGACACTTCACCTCACCTTCAACTTTCCTGAATCAGGAATAGGGAATTATTCCTTGGAAGTAACAAGCTCGATGATAGTTTTACAGACCTGCCTGGAGGCAGGATGGGTGTGGCATTACCCCAATATTTATTTCCAGTGAAAAGGGGCAGCCAAGCTCTGTTTGCACCCAGGGCTTCTGTCAATACCCTGCAGGGCAGGAGGTGCTGCTTTGTACCTGGAATTCATCCTGCAGTGAAAAGGGAAAGGATGTGGGCTCCAAACCCCACTGGGGGAGAAGATTCCCTGTTAGTAACAGGACCTTGTGTATTCACCATACACAATAAAGCATGAACAAAACCATCAAAGAATTGTTTTCCGTTCAAGAGAGAGGGGGAAATGTGGGAAATGGATTTGTAGAGAATTCTCAAAGCCTGACAGAAGACTCACATAGTGTGCATGTATATGCAAACCTTGAGAAAAGAAATACTAATTTAGAAATACCATAGAATAAGACAAACATTGGTGAGAGAGAAATGAAACTAGAAACAAGTTTCAAAGGATGGCCTTACAAAACAGGCTGGATACTTTGGAGAGATAGAACTGTGAAAGATGCATTGTAGTGGGACCCACGAAGGGTAATTTTAGATTATTGGCTTTAAACATTTACAACCTGGTGTAACAAAAACTAATAAGCCAAGAAATGCTTACAGTGTATTGTAATTAGGAAATAGTAACTTCTGATTGTACTGGTGTGAATTATACCACCTGTATCATCTCACCTTTCACATGAGACTGAAAATAGAATAAAAGTTTTTCAAACACTTCTCAGTTTGAGAGCTCTAAGTCAAAAAAACCCATAATCCAAGACCCTGGCCCATTTTCCCCATCACCAAACGTCCCTGGACACGATCCCCACTCCCCAGGAAGGACGGGTCCCATCGTGCCCAGGATGGCGAGCGCTGCTGTCGCCTGTCACCATCCCCGTCTGGGTGATTTAACAACAGGAACTGCTCCGTGCTGGGCTCTGATGGCAGAGATAACAGCAGGGCAGGGCAGGAAGGGTGAGACAGAAGCGTTAACGCTCCGTTTGCTTTTCTGACAGCTGGAATTGGACTTTTCATTTTTCCCATTGACAAACGCTGCTTTTCTTGCTCTTCCCCTCCCGGGAGGAGCTGGTTGCCATCCTCCCTCTCCACCCAACCACCACACGGTGCAGATGTTCCAGCTGCCACCAGCCCCAGCGCTGCCCCGGCTTCCCCAACATCATCCAGGCTCTGCATCTCGAGTTTTGGGGGGAAATCACCCTGTTTGCCCATTTACAGATGTTTATCCCCATCACCTCAGCGAGCCTGAGCTTTTTTCCCTGCCTGTGGTGCTCTGCTTTCTGATGCTGCTGTACAGTAAAGGGCCTTATCCAAGCCATGTTTATTTATGAGAAACTTTTATTTAAGAAGAAAAAAAAAAAGATACTTTTAAGACAAAACAGATTTTAAGGGCAGTAAATCACTTGGTGACTTTCTATCTAGAGGTTGGTTATCCCCTGGTGGTAAATAAATGAGGTTTTTTAGCCTTTTCTAGTGACTGCCTTGTTCTGCACTGCTGCTGCCCTCCCAATCCAAGGGATGCCTCACACCCAGCTGGGGCTCGGCAGCAATTTCAGTTTGGCTGGACCTTGAAATTAGTCCCTAGCCTCGTGATTGAGTTGTCAGCATCTGCTGAGGGATCATTTATTGTGCTGTCCCTTCCCATTCAGACAGGAAAGCCTCACACAATAACTTCACCTCGTGGAAAAGGTCATGCCCAGAGTTCACAAAACACTGTCTGTGTTCCTTTATTTATTGCTTATGCCCACCCCATAAGCCACAAAACAGGGGAAGACAGTTAAAAATACTCTGCTTTGGCACATTCCCCCTGATTTGGCAGAATTTGGGCTGAGGCTTTTGTATTTATGTGAAAAAGCAGGACAAAGCTCAGCTGGATTTCCCTGAGAGCCCCGAAGCAGAATCAGGGCAGGATTTATAGCTCTGCATCCAGCCCATAAATCACTTGAGGGGAACTTTAAACCCAGCCCGGGTTTGCCAGGATGGCCTGGCAGCCCCAGACTGATTCACAGAGCGTTGTGCCCTCTTCCTGCCCTGCCACCGATTTTCCACATCCCATCCTTTTGCCTCCACGGCCACCCCACCTCCTGTTTCCCTGTGTGCTGTCCCCAGCGTCCCCACGTCAGCGATGTCCTGGTGTAAGCACAGGCAGAGCCCTTATCACTCGCAGCAAACGGTTCTTTCCCCTCCATGTATTTTTATTTTTGAGTGTCAGATGTGGAAAACCCAACAGGATGATCACTCAGCATGTACCTTGTGTCTGCTGCCTGCTGGGAAGTCACAGCAGAAATGACAAATGAGAGAGGGAGGAATTCAGAAAAC